GTATGTATGTATGTATGTATGTATTTACCGTGCACATATATTAGTGTGTCAGTATGCAGATAAGCACGTGTGCGGGTGCTTTGGTTGAAAATTGTAGGTATCACTGCAGGAAACAATAGTGCAATCATCTGCACCACTACGCCATATACAGTCTCAGTGAGCGCCTCATGGAGTGCGCAGATAAGTACTTATCGTGTGGTGATCCCCCAAGATGTGTGTGCGTGTGTGTAACTCTTATCCAGAGTTTGTCTATGTGTGGTTAGTAGAACGATGTGTGCACGCAGGTGGTGTCATTCGAGTGAGTTGTAGTTGTGGCTATGGTCATCTGCGGCATTGATCTGTGATACTGTGTATTCCACTTCCTCTATAAAGCCTTAAAACATGAGAAAGATTTGAACCAACCATGTTGAACACGTATATATAAACGCCTTGCACCGTCCCCATCGATACCTTAAAGTGGGCAGACAGGTGAGCATTCTCATGTAGACATACATATACGAATATCTTCCACCGGCGCAGTATAACCATAAGGGTCGGGCCTGTGAACATACCCAGGTAGGCATACCTATATAAACAGTGAGAGCTGTTTACAGGCATACGAAAGAGTGAAGCAGACATATTGAACATGCGCATATAAATTACCCGTGTGTCTGTGTATATGCCCTATTATACGGCAGGAACTGTTATTCCTCTACACCAAGCACATATACAACGCACCCGGTTAATCACGTATCAAACCACTCAGCCCGCAGAACTCTGAACACTTATAAGAAATTCTCGCACATACAACTCACACAGCCATTGCAAACAAAGTCCACTTTCCAGGCAAGTGAGGTACGTACAATGTTTCCTTGAGAATCCATGCGCCTGTCCAGCTCAATTTTTTTGGGACTAGAAGCGCCAGATTGTTGCTCCTTAAACATCTCCGATTCCTCAGTGCCTTTCTCCTCGACATTGTTGCTACCGCCGTTATTACTACCCTCCGTACCCGCACCCATACTCTCCGTGCTTGTACTGGTACTGCTCTTGGCGTCCATGTGTACGGTTGATATACCTGTCGACCTGACATCCGTTTCGCTTTGCGTGTCAGTGTCAAGTGAAAGTGTCAAATCGGTGTGAGACTGTTCTGTGGGAGTGGGTGCCATAGGATCTGTGCTGCTGCTACCGTTCAACAAATCATTACTCTTCCGTCTGATGCTTGCGGCTGGATGATCCTCGTCGTGTTGTGCGCTGTTGCATATGCATACAAAGAGGTGCCAAGAATACTGATGAGCACCGGTATT